TTCGCAAGGATGCCGTTGTTAATGAATGTTTTACGGCAGAATATTCCTTAGGTGTCCCCTCATAAGCAGAAGCAGCCCCTACTTCACTGCCCTCACGGTCTTCAGAATATGACGTCATCTGCCGTCGCCGTCAAGCTCAACGAGGCTTACCGTAATCGCTCCGGCCTGAAGCTGCAACCTAATTTCTTCAATCGGTTAAGCGGTGAATAGCTTCCCAGAGACACTAGCTGTGACTGTGCAAGACCGCTTTTGACCAGCGTTTCAGGGACGTCGTAATGGTCTATGGTACCTCGACGACCTCGTTGAGCTCGTACCGTGAACCATGTTTCCGTGGGAAAATCTTCTGATGTCGTCAGTGGTAGAAGGCTGTCATGTAACTTTTGATAGACTTGAATGTGCTCTTTAATATGCAATTGGGCTCATTTGATTTGGTTCGCAGTTTGTGATTAATTGCGTTTTGAATGTGGAGGGAAGTGACTCTTTTTTTGCCCCCCCCCCTCTTGTATAGAGTAGGAATATCAAAGTTATACGGAAGGACGCAATAGTCAAACTTTAACGAGATACGCGCGTCAAATGGAGTGGCAAATATCACCTGCGCTGTTGTGCGTCGAAAGCATCTGTTTTGATACTTGTTCAACTGGAATCATGTCACCAAAAACTTTATCATACTATATCTATTTCTATCACTGTTTTGTGGTTTACATGTTTAAGACAATACAAGCAAAAGTATGAGTGAACCGAAGTGGCAATGTCGCAGGGCTCCAAAAATTTCCACTCTGCAAAGCCTACTTTCCCTTTCTTCGAACCACCTCTTTAATGTATTTGACGTTGTGGTTTCTACAGGACAAGTGGAAAATTGGGAAAGAAGTAGCGCATTTGCAGAATGAATTGACGGCACAAGTGCGAGGCGCGCATGCGTCTCGCGCTGTCCTGCGGCCCAAAGTGCGAGGCGCATCGCATGCGCATGACGTCAGCACACTAATTCTGTTTTAAACTTTTTTACGCACATAAGACTTTGTAGCATTTATACACTAAATCAGTCCAATAAACAGACAACAAAGTTTTCTACTCCATCATTAAACAGAATAGATCATTGCATACAGATGTTCTTCATAAACTATGTAATAGCAACTAGATATATTACAAAAATGGTTGATTTCTACGTGTGTTCCGATATTTTATGATCAAAATAAAGGAATGTGTGAGGGAGAAGATGGATATGTTCGCTGAGGATCACAGGGAAGAGGACCTTTGAAGCTAGGACAGAGGAGCCATCAATTTGAAAACGTAACTCGAGAAAGTTCTGTTCCACGTAGTCAGAATGGCTTCCAGGACGACCTGCAAAGTTCAGCCAATTGGAAGGTATTTTGAAGAAGCGCTTTTTTGTTGACCGGTGAACATACTGTGTGGAATTACTTTCACACCATTTGTATGGCCTAGGATTCTATACTGCAGATTCTACCATATACAGGGGGGGGCCAATAAAAAAAGACATTTTGTCTCCACTTCAGATGGATTTAATCACACTTTGCTCAATTCAAACCGAATGGTTCCAACTTAGAATTGAAGAGCGCATTTCATTCTATAAGAAAATCTTCATAGGCCACCTACGTGGACGGCATCAGAAGAATTTGCCCTGGAAACATGGTGCACTGGTCGAGCTCAATGGGGTCTTCGAAGGATCGTGTACCATAACGACCTTTACTGGAAAGCTAGTTTCGAGGGGATTTGCATAGTGGGGCTAATGCTCTAGGAAAACTATCCAACATTGAATCGAGTTCACGAAATTATGTTGCGCTTTTCGGTGTTTCGTTTTTGAACGCTTTATTTTGTTACGAATTCAAGCAAGCTGCCAATGAGCTGTATGTGGGCTGAAGCAGTTACGGTAGGCCTCCTTGAGCTTGACGACGGTGACAGATGACGTCATATTCTGAAGACGGTGAGGGCAGTGAAGGAGGGCCTGCGTACTTATAGAGGGACATTTAGGGAATACTTTGCTGAGGAACTTCCGTCAACGACGGCAATCTCTGCGAAGAAAAAAGGGCCGAAGTGCGACATGAGGCAAAATGTCTTTTTTTTTGCCCCCCCCCTGTATAACCGGCTAAGCGGTTGTGTGTGAGTGTCTGCCTAACCAGGAAATTCATAACTTCATTATCCTTTGCACCCAGAACGCTTAAACTTCTAGGGTATATAGGAGGCTGGGCGTGAGAATTGTTGATTGGAAATTGATAACTACTGTAAGGGGCTAGTAGCGGATGTCAAAATTTGTTGCCACCGATTCCGCCAAGCCGTCACGTGACAACGGAGTGGTCGCACTCATAGGAAGCATATGGTGTAGGATGGGAACCCAAACGGTAGCGAAAAAATATGATATTAAGAGATAGGAACTGATAAATCGGATTACCACTACCACCGCTTCGTTACGCCATTTACAATAACACTAACAGGTTTGCACACATGTGCGCTAAGTGAGATGAAGCACATACTAAAGAGTAAAATATAGGGGTAGCAACTGATAAGAACTGATAAGGGGCGTCAAAGTGTGGATACCACCAGTTTCGTTGCGGCTTTCGCGGTGACATTGGAACCTTGGCTCTCACATGTGGTATAGGGGATGGGACGGGAACACGGATAGTGGGTGATCAAAAGTGATAACAACCGATAACGGTTGATAAGGAAGTTAGGATTTTGAGTACCGCTAATTTCGTTGTAGCCTTCGTGTGACAGTAAAACACGAGCTCCTACACGTTGCCTGGAGGGTGGGACGGGACACCGATTGCGAGCAGTATGAACTGATAACAAATGATAAGGAACGGTAAGAGGCGTCGGATAGCAAATGTCTCCAACATTGTTGTGATTATCAAGAAGCGATCAAGCTTAAAAGGTGTTATGGTAAGTGATACGAAGTAGTAATGAGCGAAAAGTATACTGATAAAAATAGCGGCAGCTGGTTCAGCCTCAGTAAAGTGAAGCACGCTCTTAGACGTGAGTGGTCTGTTCCATTCCTACCCTTCCGCCACCAAAAGAAGCAGAAGAGTTGAGCCGCCAATTATCTGGACTTGGCCCAATGACGAATTTCCATCAGAGCTAAGTTAATGGTGATTGATTGGTTGTATTTCACTCTCACACCGATACCTTGATTGTGGAAATTGGTAAAAATCCGCCAAATTATCTGAGCTAGATGATCAATGCTGAAATGTTTACGAAGTCATGATAAGTATATGTTTAGTTTCAAG